TATCTTTTATCTTACCCTAATACTGATATCCGTTAGTTTACCATTATTCTTTTCTGATATGCATATCGGGTAAATAACGGGTCAATAAAAAGATATATTCCGTTATTTAACCTTTATTCATATATTCGAACTGTGTTGTATTCTCAAATTATAAGGCAAATGGCAGAGATTAGGATCAGAGAACAAATCAATTAATAATCAATTAATTAAATCATATGAATTAATATGCAACCAAAAATACATAATTAAATAAGCCACTAACTACAATCGATATATAAATAGCTGACAAAGAAAAGTTGATTTTGACACTCTTTTCCACTTTGACACAATAGTTTTCAGCAAACAAATTTCTCGAATAAACATTCTACAAATTTATATTGATAGTTAGCCAAAAAAAAACAAACAATTAACTAAACAATTAAAGAAAAAAAAAAAGAAGAATAGAAAGAATAGAGATTTCACAATTTGTATATATTTACTTATACTGTATGTTCTAATATAAGTAGCAATACAGAACCAAATCCATATGATAGCAACAAAGAATTGTGCCCTATTGTATAACTAGCACCAACTATATAGTATTACAAGCTAGCTGAGTCAGCCACGGCTAAGACAGAACAATAATATCAGGCAAAATTAAATAACAAAAAGCAAGGATTCGAAAAAAAAAAAAATTAGAGTAATTTCTAATATCTTTTGTAGTAAAATTTTTTTTGCTTACTTTAGTTATTAGCAGCCGCTAAGCCAAAATTTTATTAGCTAGCTTAGCTAGCCAATAAAAACCTTATAGCTTGTAACACTACAACTGTACTAGTAGTGGCAGAACCCTGGATAATTCTAAAATAGGTGGTATAGCAAAAGAGAGTAGATTTTTTGGACCAAACATATCTAAATTCTGGTCAAAATCAATTTTTAATTTTAATTTTAATTTTAACCAGAATTAAGGCAAATTTAGCCCAAAATCTACCCTCCTTTACTTTACCACCTACTTTAGAATTATCTGGGGTCCTGCAGTGGCTACCATGTTGGATAGTTTCATATCTAAAACACACATAAATTCTTCAGTAAAAGCTTATATTGATAGATAATTTGAGCATCTATTATATTAATTATTAGATCTATCAGGCAATATATCAATTCTTACTATAACAAACAGAAATTGTGAAATGAACAACTTCAAGTGAACATTAATAACATAGCTCAAATAATACAAACTAATACTAACACTAGTGCTATAGCTTCAGGTAGTAGTACAACATTAGCAGTATATATAATGTCACTACAGCAGCTGTAAAAGTCAACCAACCCAACTAATAATCTACTAACAAAAAAAAAAAAAAGAACCTATTTAGCTTACAAATAAGTATCCTCCAGCTTCTATATTAAATAATTTTATTAAATGCATCTAAAATTACTTTTTAATACCAGAATGAGATATCATTATCAAATATATACCTGGTTACAGTATTTACAAACTAGCACTTATTTGAATTAACAATATAAAACTATCTATTTTTTGACTATACAAAATTCAAAAACATCTAAAAGATTCATAGGTTCTCTAGCACCCAGATAGCAAAAACAGAAAGTATTTAGATTTGGTAGGTTATAAACTGGCTAGATAGTTAAAAAATTATTGAAACACTCTTTTTTAAACCTAATATCTTACTCAAACTATAGAAAGCAATCATCTTTGGCTTATATATGTCGTGCCTCAGATCAATTCTTGCGTCAGATTAAAACCGGCCTAAGTTAGATTAGGGTTAGAGTAAGAATCTGGGAAGGATTTGGGCTTAATTTAAGTCAATCAATATCGATCAGTTAATGCGGGCCAAAAAGTTGACATCTGATGCAAGCATTAATCTGAGGCACAACATATATAAGCCTTTAAAACTTCACTTACAAAAACCTGCTATTAAGCATAAAAGAGGCAGAGAATGAATTTATACTGCAATTAGCAAAAGGTAGCACTATCTCAATTAAAAGATGCTTTCATTATATAGCTTTTGCAAACATCTCAGAGTAGTTACTTGCTTTTAAGATATATATAGATGCAGTCCTTATTATTTATGAAAACAGAGAACATGAGCTTAATTCTTATAGAGATCACATTAACAAATTATGTTTTAAACAAAGCTTTCATGCTATAATGTTCTAGTTCTACTGTATAATAAGGATTGCAAAGTAACTCTAATGACAAATCAGAACTCAACCCTTCTAGACCATAAGGTTGAAGTTGAAAGTAGAAATTTTAATGTAACAATAGTAAAGAAATACAAACACAATACATATTACACTTTACAACCTGAAGTAGAATAGTATGATAGAAGAAAAATACACCAGCAGATAAAAAAATTAACAAAGAAGTGCAACATATAGTAATACAAGAAATATGTAAGAATAAGATCGACACATA